TTGTATCAGCAGGGGTTTGGTCCTTGTGCCTCTAACAAGGACGGCAATAGGCTGGGATAGAACAAAAGAAAGCATAGGTATGGTCATGTGATTTTTTTTTTCATTTAGCAACTGCTTTGATTCCCAACAAAGCTATTGATCCAGTTGTGGCTGTTAAATGAGGACTACCTTACTTTTACATCTATAAAAATAAATGAGGTGGTTTTTTTCTTGAAATTTTATAAAAATACAATTGGCCTCCTGTAAGGACTTTTGTGCCTGAGCCATGGTGCTGGTCATATGATAGAGCCAGCCTGGTTATGTGGATAACTTTGATGAGGAGCAGTTGCTATATGTTTTATTTTTATGTTATGTATTTTATTGTAAGCTGCCTAGAATCACATCTATGAGATGGGCAGCTTTATATTGAATACATAAATGCTGTTGGCAGGAAAGGATTTCCACATAATCACACTAATGTGGAAAGTTGCTTATCTGATACTGAAACTTTAGCCTAGATATTAGAAAGTCAACCTATTTCTAAAACATAAAAACATTGAAAGGATTTTTTTTATTGCTTTGGAAGTCTGCTTCCTGGACGGGAGAATGTATAGCCTTCCAAATATTACTGAACTACACTTCATAGCAGCTCCACCCAGCATGTTGCAAGCTAGAATTCAGAAGCATCTATATTTGTTGTATCAAATATAATAAAATATTGCAAGATACAATATATTTGCCTTCATTCATAATAAAATATACTCAATTAAGCCTTCACTCTTCTTATGTTTTTGTATCTATAAGTCGTTCAAAGTTTTGTATCCAATAACTATATACATAAATTCAGAGCAAACTTATCATTTTGCTTCTTTTTTTAACACAGAGGTTCCCATGGATGAGTGCCCCCATTCAAGTAGGACTAGTGGGTTTCTGGTAAGTAAAAAGTTCAGTTTGTATTTCTCATGCTGATGTTCACTTTTGCGTCATTTGTCAGGTTTAATCCTTGACTTTGTTAAATTGAGGAAGTTCAAGATTTTAAGGCAAACCATATCAAGAAAGCAATATGAAGAACATTTACTAAATCAGCTACTGAGAACAAGACCAAAAGCATGAAGGGAACATAAATGTATGTTAGACTTCATCTGGCCTGAAGATGTTTAAAAAGCAGAGGAAACAGCACATCGCAGTGTCCACAGCAAGGGGTCAAAATCTGCAAGATAGCCAGTGCAAGACTAGAGTCCAAGGTCTGCCCTTTTGCACATGTGTTGATGTCTCACGCATGCAAAATAAGGGGTGGGGCAGCCATGAATGTGACATCCCTTCACCCATGCTCAGAAACCTAGAGGCCACAAGAAATGAGTTCCACCTATGTCCTGTGTTACCTAAATCTGCCTCAGACAGTAGTGAAAATATAAATTGGGGAGGAGTTTATTTTAGGAATTCATTCAGGCCATGCTGTTTCTTGAAGAAGCATAGGAAATGAAACTGTTTCAGAGCAGTGGTTCTCAACATGTCATCCACAGACCCCTGGGAGGCCACGATGTCATCACGGGGTCCACAAAGGCTTGAAGAAATGTTATGATTTAAATCTTGAGTTAAGTCTTGGTAATCCATGGCCATGGTCCATACCCACAAAACATATTTAAAGGGGGTCCGTGGGGAAAAAAAGGTTGAGAACCACTGTTTGAGAGTATAATAAATGGACTCTAGGTAATAACAAGATCTGGTGCAGGAAATAAATTTGCCACAACAAAAACATCAGACTAAAGTAACGTTTTTCTGAGTAATTATTGCTACTGGGCAGGTGAAGCAACCACATCCAGGACCCCATGATCTCAAGAATCCAAAAACTCCAAATTTGGGTCCTTTAAAGTTCCTTTCCATCATCCTTTGCTTCTCTCAGATTGGGATGCTCGATTTTGATTGTGGGACTGAAGAAATGATGGCATAGTGGAGGCAGGAAGTCTTAATCTTAAGGAGCTTTTTTTTGCAGAAGATTAAAAACTAAAAATGTCCAACACTTCCCTTCAAAAACAGAAAAGCCTTTGCCCCTAAATCCTAGTTAGCCCTTTGCATTATCATTCTGCAGCTGTCGACTCCTGTCCCCATCAAATACAGCAATGTTACTTCAGCACAAACTTGCTGTAGAGAAACAAAAGATTTTGTGAAAAGTGAGAAATTTATAATACTGCTTAATATTGGCAAATGGAGATTCTCTATATTCTGTAGGGTTTTATAAATATCTGTTTGAGTATTTGATTTTGATATGTTGACCTTTGAGTTTCCTTCCAGTACCAAATTTAAGGTTCTTTACTGTGGTCTCTGTTTTTCACATACATGGGCTATATATCTTTGCAGTCTGTTTGAATCTTATACAGTAAATCTTAAGAGAGTATCTTGGTGGATAGAAACAGCACCCACCCAGCATATGGCTCCTTCTGAGCTAACTGCTGCTATGGAATCCCTGCAATTTGTGGAGTTCTCAATGCTTTCTGAGTTCGCTTGTTTGCTTGCAGACATTTCAGTGGTGGGATTCAGTCAGTTCGCACCAGTTCGGCAGAACCGGTAACTAATTTTTGTTGCCCAGGCCCAGGATGAACTTCCGGAAGCTGCATCCACACAGAGAACCAGTTATTCACATATTTGATTCCCACCACTGAGATGTTTCATATTTTACCCAACTACATCATCATCCCTGTGGTTTGTTTGTAAATGCCACAATGATAGCACATCTGTTCTAAGAGTTTGTTTAATAGAATTATTTCTTTCCTCCACTTGTTCTGTTTTATTTTAATTCAATTACTTAACATTTGTGATTAAGACACAGGTTAGAAAGTAGGAGACTGAGTTTTAGTCCCACTTTAGTCATGAAAGCCAGCTGAGTGATCCATTCTCTCTCAGCCCAACTCACTTCAGGGTTGTTGTTATGGAGGAAAATAGGAGGAGAAAGATGTGTTGAATATATTTGTCACTCTGAAGGGTTTTTTTGTTGAAAAAATAATAAACACAAGATACAAATAAATAAATACCCTCTGCCTCAGCCATATAATCTTGGAGCTATAAATATCTATATCCAGGTGTGCTAAACAGAAACAGCATGGTTTGCTAAACAACAGCTAAACACAATCATGTATCTGATTTAATAAGTAAAGTTATATTAACCTAATTTATTCTTCAACACCAATCGTGACTAAGTTCACATTGATTTATTGGTGGAAGGCAAAGGTAGAATCAAGGATTTGTTAAGAATGGTTTATTTGGTACTACAACTGACTATGTCATTGATATTGTGTAGCATGTTTGTTATAGTTCACAAGAAGTGTCCATGTCCACCCTTTATAGTCTCTTCTCATACCCATCTCTGGTCCTTTTATGTCTAATCTCTGACAATCAGCCTTTCAGATTAACTCTGGTTCCTGGGCAGAAAGCATTTCTTTTACACAATAGAGCCATGGATGTCAGATGGTTTCAATTATTACCATCTTCTCCTTCCAACAATGAGGAGTGTGGTTTGCTTATATTGCCTGGCAAGATGCCTATTTTCATAGATTGGTAGTACCATTGCTGCCCGTCGCTACTTTATAATGGATAATTTTACACATCTGTTTATCATTGCGCCATCCTTCTTAGCAATCATCAAACTTCGTTCTGAGTCAGCTAAGCAACTGTACCTTCTTCAGATCCACCTCCATGCTACCAACTTTGAGATATATCTGTGGTATTTCAAATTCCCCAGCCAGAATTATGCTACATTTTTTTCCTTCCACTTTTCTTCAACATTATTGATCTTCCATCTTCAGAAGAATTCAACCTTTGAAAAAACAGTTTTTTTCTTCAATCGCTTCATGAAACCAGACTTTCCTCCAGGTAATAAGTTACCTATTAACCCACATGTATGAATCACAAGGATCACATGAAGAATTTCACACAATCTGACCTGCCACCCCACTTGGTGCCATCATTCTGCAGCCCCAGGAAGTGCACTTGGCCCCCTCCACAAATCATTCTGTACAGATATTGCACAGGCAAATAACCCATGTGTGTGAGTTCAGAAATGAACTGCTACACTTAAGTAACCAATTCTTATGACATTTGAATTACTATTCAGGTGCTAACATGGCATACTGTTATTCCAAGAAGCCAGAATTGATTAAAATTATCCAAACTTTGAGTACATTAAAAAATATTAACTTTTGTCTTTTCCAGTTTGGTGTTCGCAACCCCTCTGTGCTGTGCATTATTTCCACAGAAAAGGTACCGTTGCTTCTTTACTACTTTTTCTACAGTGAGAGATATTATGCCATGCAGACTATAAAAATGAGAAAACTGATTTATTGCTTTCCAAGAACTTCACAATTTATTCAATAGTCCTGTTCTTCACCTTGGGGAATACAAGTACTCTTAATTCTTCATGAGCTGGCTCCTGCCCAAATTCAGGCCCCAGAGCAGGGGTCTTCAAACTTGGCCCTTTTATGACTTGTGGACTTCAACTCCCAGAATTCCTCAGCCAGCGTGCCTGGCTAAGGAATTCTGGGAGTTGAAGTCCACAAGTCATAAAAGGGCCAAGTTTGAAGACCCCTGCCCTAGAGGGATGTTTTTCGATCGTAAGCACACATTTTCCCATTTCTCTTTCTGTCATAACTTTATAATAAACCCTCATTTCTTCTCCATTTTGTTACTCTAGTAGCAAATCTGCCTTTTTGCTCTGGCCCTCATACCTTATTTTCAGATCCTGATCTTATATATGTCATAAGCTTTATCTTAATTTTAGTTAGGAAGGCCAGTAATATCACCCATAGAGACTTCCGATAGAAGAGAATATTTGGAGCTCAGGGTCAGGGTTGAACTGTGGGGTCCTTGGTGCTCTGAACTTGCTTGTTTTCCTGCAGACATTTCATTACCCAACTAGATAATATCATCAGTACTAGAAGGGAGTGAGGTTTGCACAGCCCTTATTTATTTATTTACTTATTCATTTATTTATTCTTCATATTTCTTAACTGCCCATTTCTTAACTGGAGAAGGGCTCTGGATGGTGTACAATATCATCAATAAAATGAAACATTAAAATCAGAGTAATTTATAATTAAAAGTTTTAAAATTATAAAAACTACCTTATAAGATTTTCAGAATGTTCAAGTTTCAGAAAGTTCAAAATGCAGTGGCTCCCACAAGCCTAAACTGCATCTCTGTACTGTATGCCCATCGTGGGGTTTTGTCATGAATGTTTAATGTTGTAAATCTGAATTGGGCAGCCATATACATTTGTTTTAAAAATAAATATACTACGTTGATACATTATGACATCCTAGGTTGTTGGAAAGAATTCTTTGTATGAAGAACCTGAAGGCCAACAACAGCTAGAGAACTGGCAGCTCTGATTTCACATTGTTGTATATACAATAGTAATAGTACACCATGGTGGTTGACTGAGTAGTTTTTGAAATAATATTTAAAAATTGCAGCTTTTGAATTTTTCACCAGTAGATGGTGATGTGACACTGAGTGCCATATGGTAGTTCCATCTACCATACTGATAGAAAACATGCTGCAGTTTTTCTTTTCTTTCGAAACAGAACATGCTGGTAGCACAACAAACTAGAACTGGCAGTAAGGTTAGGAAGTAAAATGGGAAAAAATAGAATTAAAAATCCAGAAAAGGAGGAAGAAAGCTATTAGGATGAATTGGGGGAGAAAGTGTAGATAGCATGCTGACGTAAAAGGCTTGGGAAGAGATAGAGGGAGAGGACAAAAATGGGGAAAAAAGCACATTAGAAAGAAAGGCATGTCAGAGAATTATGAAAAAATGACTGGAGAAAATGAAAAATGCAGCTAAAGGAGTAAAACATGGCAAAATCCCTTCCGGGAGGAATAGCTTCAAGGATAGATCAGGTTGGAGTGCCAGCACCAGACAGAAGAAGAGTAATGAAAGGGTAGACCAGTTTGAGGAGGGAAGTCAGAGGAGACATTTTCAGTAAGAAAGAAAATTGGTGAAAGCCGCAGCAGGAGGGAAGGCAGGAGAAAGAATTAGGAGAAAGGAATTGGAGTGGGAACTGGAGGAGCACAAGCTGTTCATAATGGCAAAACAGGAGATAAAAATTGGTGTCACCAGCTGCAGCACATTTTTCTGCCTGACTGCATGCAATCTGGAAACCACCCTTTCTGCCACTGTGCTGCTTTTGTGTCCTGGAGAAAGGGACTTCATGCTTCTGGGATGCCCCTTTATTTATACCAGAATGGAGAATCACAAGAAAATTTCTCTTTCCCTTTTCTTTTTCAGCTCTCAGCTGAAGCAAGCTTCTCCTCACCCATTCCAAATTCTATACATTTTCATAATCTTGAGTTAGGAATTGGAGGTTGTGAGAAAAATCAACTTGGTCAAATACCAAACCAAATCAAAGGAAACTTAAAACTGACCCTGTTCAGCCTCAGAACAGAAATATCTCTCGTGTCAGTTTTAATAACTTTTATTTGTAGAAAGGGAGACAAATATCTAAAAAAAAATTTTAAAGGCTTACTATAATGCATGATCTGCTAGCTCAGCTTTAATATAGAAGCAAAATCATAATGGTTTGTCCTGTGTGGTACATTAAGATGCCATTTCATATAAAATTATATAAAAATAACTTAGCAAAATAGCATATGAAATATCCTTTCTGTAACTCATTCAGATAATGAAGAGAAGCTATTTGGAAAACAAGTAACTACTATGCCATATTTTAAAGGATTATAAAATTTAAGATATTTCCTGAGACATATGATATACAGTAAACAAATGGATTAAGACTTCTTGATCATGGATAATATGTTATGTCTTTATTATTTTTTTCTTCCTAGTTCCATGTCTGTAACGCGTCTGGAGCCAGAATTACAAGCTAAGATCAAAGAAATGAGTCCTGAATTGGATCGGGTATATTTTAACAAAGGATTATGATTTATAGAAGGGTGATATCTCCTTAAATTATAGTTAGATGAACTTATTTTAATTGAGTCTACTTAGTTGAAACAATGCAGTCCTGATGCATTCTTTCAATTTTTGTATAATTTTGAACACTTGAAATTATTTAAGTATCATAAGAAAATGTTCATAATTATGGTTGAAAATTCTGACAATTGTCCAGTTCAGCTGCAAATATTCAAAATGGTTTACATTAAGAATTACTTAACAGTCGAAATTTTAATTCCTTTGGAAAGTGTAACAACTTCAAGGAAATCAGGCAGTGTTATCTTAAAGTTACAACCTATCTTATTTTTCTCTCACTAAAAGAAAGTAAATAACAAGTCCATTTTTGCTATTACATTTGTAAATACAATTCCTATGACAAATATCTATCAGGTTACTTCCTCAGAGTCCCAAAGAGTTAATTTGTAATATCTCCTTGATATATGGATCTTAGATTTTCTTTTTTCACTTATCTAATGTTTGAATGGGGCAGTAATTAAGATAGGTGAGAGTGAGAGATTTCAGTGCTGCAGAAATTTGAAGTCATTTCTTATTTATCATTTGGCTGCTGCACTTCTAACATAAAAGCTCTATGAAATTGCATAACTCTGCTTGGATAAAATTCTATTTAGAATATCCTCAGTTTACTAAAATAAAATAAGGTCACTAAGCCAGAGGTTCCCAAACTTTCTTGGTTCACAGCATCCTTAGTGTCTCAGTAATTTTTTTCACAGTGCTTCTGGTAGTTCCCAAATCTTGTGCAGGTAATCCTCAACTGGCAACCATTCATTAGGGACTGCTCGAAGTTACAACCACACTGAAAAAAGTGACATATGACTGTTTTTCACATTCCTGATGTGATTTTGTCATGTGATCAAAATCCGGACACTTTGCAACGGGTTCATATTTATGGCTGCAGTGTCCCAGGGCCATGCCACCACCTTTGGTGACCTTCTGACAAGCAAAGTCAATGGGGAAGCCAGATTCACTTAACAACCTAATCACTGCAGTGATTCACTTAACTGTGGCAAGACCGGTCATAAAATGGGGCAAAATTCATTTAACAACTGTCTTGCTTAGCAATGGAAATTTGGGGCTCAACTGTGGTCATAAGTCGAGGACTAGTTTTATAGGTAGTCCTCAGCTTACCACCATTCATTTAGTGACCAAAGTTGCAACAACACTGAAGAAAGGGACTTATGTTTTTCATACTTACGGCCATTGCAGCATCCCCATGATCAAAATTTGGATGCTTGGCAACCGATTCATGTTTTTGAGGGTTGAGGTATCCCGGGGGGGGGGGGGTCGCGTGATCCCCTTTTGCAACCTACTGACCAGCAAAGTCAATGGGGGAAGCCAGATTCACTTAACTGCCATGTTGCTCATTTCACAACTGCAGTGATTCACTTAACGACTGTGACAAGAAAGTTCATAAAACAGGGCAAAACTCACTTAACAAATGTCTCACTTAACAACATACATTTTGGGATCAATTGTGGATGTAAGTCGAGGATTACCAGTACTATGGCACCTGGGTCAGTTTTTAAGTAGTGAATAATCCCATGGTGTTGTTTCTTAAGTAATAAAATATCAGTTTATTAATTTGGTAGCAAAATATCCCACTGTGCCCTGTGAATTCACTGCAATGCTCTGGGATGCCATGGCGCACTGTTTGGGAACCATGGCACTAAGCCATAAAATAAGCAATGAGAATATCTGCTTTAAGTGATCTTGTAGAGCAAGTCTTGAAGCCTATCCAAATGTTGAGCAAGGCATGGTCCTGTCAGGACAATACTACCTCCCCGTGTGTGATGCATCATCAAGATTGCATCATGAGCATGTCCTGCATATACAAAGCCAAAAAAACCCATAACCCCATGTTAATTTTCCTAGTTTAAGAAAATGCTTTTTTGATTAACATTTTAATCAGCTTTGCATCCAACAGCAATGGACAGGATGTCTTATGATTTTTTAATGGCTCTCAGTCAATGTTCACTAATGAGTAACTGGTGACATTGGCCAAATTCTGCAAAACCTCAAGATGTTGAGTTTATACTTTTTATCACTACATTTCTGTGGTCTTATCTATTATGTTTTCCCAGAAATAAATAGTATATATTATAAGATCATGTCCTCATATCTGATGATTCTCAAATTCCTGAGATAGTCCTGAGATTAAAAAAAAAAACCCAGACGGCTAAATACTATTTTCAGAATGTGCTGCTTTATTTTATTTTTTATTCCCAAAAGAGGTGCTATACAGCAGCTTTTAAAAAAACATTGACAAAACAAGTATTTATAGCATTTTTAATCGATTTCCTACTTGATTTCTGCTAGTTTTTCAGTATGCTTTGCTGTACCTATAATACAACAATCCTGTGCAGGAGGGGTGCTATTGATTCTCATTATACAGATGCGAGAAAACAGACCATAAAGCAGTGACTTTTTTAAAGTCACCTGGAAAGTCTAATACTAAGTTGAACCAAAACCTTGATGCAAAGTTGATTGAAGCATTTTAATTATTCAGTTGGCACAAATTCTGAAAATTATTTAAGAATGTTTCCATTGGAATTTCAGCATGCCTGATATTAATGGTATTTACTATTTAATGTACCTTTTCCCATGTGTAATGTCACATTGGAGACCTCTGTACTGGTATGACTAGATTAGTTCTGTACTCAGTGAACTTGCTATTCAGGATAAACTTTGGCCTTTGTATATATCCAAAATAGTATAGTATACACGTTAGTAGACCACTTATAGCATACCTAATACCCAGTTGTATTAGACAGAATATAATCTATTATTATTATAAAACACTGAAATGTGCCATGTAGCAGAAGTTTACTTAGTGGCAGACGATTCTCAACTTGGAATGTAAAGGAAAAAAATAAATATTTTATTTGAATGCCTACTTTACAAAGACCCCTAAGCAGTTATATTTGCAGCTGGTAGTTTATCTTGAGTTCCTCAAGATAAAATAAAGAACAGACTAGCATAGCATTGTCTAATTTTCCATGCAAATCATAGTCACAAGAAAATTAGATAACTTGGTATATTGTTCAGGTTAGGTCAAGATGAGACTATTGTATGCTTAGCTAAAGTCCTGTTTAAATATTAGTTATGTTCTTGAAATATTCTGTTCTACCAGTGGTTCTTCTGACAGATGTGGAAAGGATTTCCTGAACTGAAACTTATGCCAGGACAAAATTGTTTATAAGTTTGGTTGCTGTTTTTAAAGACATTGATGTCTCCTGATACATCTCTGTATTTTGTACTGCCTGTTTAGGCTACATCCTGAAAGTTTGAACTTTTCAGTCCATGTCATACTCTGATATGAGTGGCATACATGAAAAATATTACAGATCACTTGCCTTTAAACAGGAGTGGTGTGGCAAGAGATAGTGTGTATGTGATGGAGAAAGGAAGGGAAATTTTGCAGCCTAAATATTGTGGGTGTACTTTGCTCTCAGAGATTTCTGCTAGTGCAGATATCAATTTTACAACCATCTGATTATATCATGCCTACTCAGCAGTAGGACCCCATTTTGTTAATAAGGGGTTGATTTCTTCATCAAGAGGCGTAGGCTGCAATTACTGACCTTGGTTCCTTAACAAAACAACGGCAATAATTATTTTTGAAATGTGAACTTTAGTTAATTGCTAGTAATTATAGTTCACAACTAAAGAAACTACAGGAAGGGGATTAATGATGCAGTCATCTGTTTAACGGCTGGGGGGTATTTTGAGAGAGTAATGGTCCAGGAGATGCGTTTAGTTGATATCACTTGAATATATATCATGTGACTTCAGTCTGTTTAGAAAAATTGGGTATTCGCATGTGGCATGCTTAAAATAATATAGCCTAGAGCACAACAATCTTTACTTGCGTATTTTGTTTCTAGGATTAAAAAATATTCTTTTATTTCTGGAATACATGTATTTAAAACACGTATCTGCGGGGTTTTGTTCATTTTTTTAAACAGGAAAACTGTACATTTTTTTCTTTGTAATGTTTAGCAGAACAAAATAATATTAGAATCAGGAAATTTATACTGATCTAGTAGAAACAATTTTTTTTAAAATATTTCCAATGAAGTGCAATAAAGATACAGAATTAATTAAAGGAGTAACTATTAATATTGTACAATTTTAGAAAAATAATCTGGGTTATACTGTGATTCGCATATCTTTTCAATACAAGTATTAGTACAATATCTTGCCAGAATTGGTGGTATTGCTTAAAATCAGTTGGATGATATTAAAATTGATAATTAAAATGTCATGCGCTCTGTGTGAAATGTACTTTCAATAAACTTTGTATTTGAATATGAATACATAAGTATGAGATACATGGATTATAAAAGGTATACATGAAAATATAGTTGCAGGTTTTCTCCTTAACTGTAAAAAGAAAAATCGAACAGTTGTGACTAAAATTCATATTAAAATCCAGTAATTTATACATATTTGAAATTGAAATATAACCCTGTAGCATTTGGCACATAGCATACAGATCAATATGTCCATTATAGAAGCATCATTCTTTGGTTTGGAATTTCCCATGTCTCTCAGCTGCAATTCTAAGATTCTATTTTTTTTTCTTACAAAAATAATGTAGTTACTCTTTTTTCTGTAAGGTTATGCTTTTGGATAAAACAGTGAATTAAAATTATGGAAGTTGATTGGTAAACATTAATTTTAAGCAGCAGAATCTCTAATTCAAGGGTGGAGCAACCTGAAGTTCTAATGTGATATGAAGCCCTCAGTACACATTCAAAATTTCGTTGTGAGATACACAATGACAATAAAGATATTCTATTCTAAAAGCTCTTTTTAAGTAATTAGAATTCTGGCAAATTCAGTTATATTTAATCTTTCTAACCACTCTGTAAAAAAAAAAGTTTATCTAGATATAAAATTCTTTTTTCAGAGTAATATTTGTACATCTATGGACAATCTGTTATTATTTTTATCATTTAGTAGAAATTCCCAAGATAGAGTATCAGCCTTGACTTCTGGATCTCATTTGTGCTACATGTGCCACTGGGAAACACTAGGAAAAATCAATCTGTCTTTTCCCTGGCAATGGCTATGTAAGGAGTGCAATTACACCGTTTACTCTGTATGAACAGAAAAAAAAACTTATTT